GTACAGTTTACCATAGTCTGGGTTTTGCTAATTGTGCATACCCAAATATATTTCTCTGCCCCTTATGCTTTCGTAAATTATTATAGGTTTGATCAGATTAAGGATTTTCTTTTTTTTCTAAATTTACTTTAATTGTACTTCCATCAGGTGATAGATAATGTCTGATGGTGATATTTAGGAGCCATTAATAATCATTATCTAGATCTGTTAATTCATTAGGGGTTATAACGTAGTGATATGCTACAGATTGAGCATCCCTAATATAAAATTTCAATATCTGAAATGCTCTAAAATTGAAAACTTTCTGAATGCTGACATGACACCACAAGTGGAAAAACTCCATACTGCCTTCATGTAACAAGTTGCAGTCATAATGTACTGTGTGTCCCCTCACCAGCCCTCTCTGGCTGACAGGACCTGCAGGTAGGCTGAGGCCTGCAGGGGCAGAGTGGGACCTGCAGATGAGCTGAGACCTACAGGGGTAGAGTGGGCTCAGCAGACAGCAGCACCAACCCAGGCAGGTTGGGATGGGACAAATCCTCAGCCACCTGTGTAGCCCTTGACTGGCAAACAAAAATCCAAACATGTCAGACACTTTCGCAGCCACTGGCACCGCCACACTTCAAGTGAGGCTTGTTTTTCCAGTGACCTATTCCCACTGGGGTTTATAGGAGTGTTGAGAAGGCACACAGCTTCCAGGGTAGATAGGCTTCTCTTCCGAGAAGGACCCAGCGGCATTGATTTGTTTTGAAAAAATGCAGATGACAGAAGAGAAATTGACAGTCTGATGGGGCCAGATAGCATATCAGCTAATTGGTTGGGAGGAGGCTTTTCCTGGTCACAGTCACTCATCCCCAGGACCAGTCAAGTGGATCCTCTCATTTCAGAGGGGAGATGGGTCCAAGAGGCCAGTGGCATCCTGGGTTCACACAAGTGGTCTCCTGGGGCCACACATGGAGTATCCTCAGTTGGGGGGTGCAGGGGAATGTACTGTGAGTCAGGAATTATGGTGATGCCAAACATCTACAAATTGTCCACATGAGTAGCTGAGAGAGTGACATCTTTGCTTTATGATGGTTCAGTGTACATATAGTTTGTTTCATGCACAAATTTATTTAAAATATTACATAAAATTAACTTCAGGTTATGTGTATGAGTTGTGTATGAAATGTAAATGAATTTTGTGTTTAACTTTGGATCCCATCCTCAAGATATCTCATTATGTATATCCAAATATTCCAACATGTGAAAAAGTCCAAAATCCAAAACACTCTGGGCTCAAGCATTTCAGATAAAGAATACTCAACCTGTAATAACTCTTTCTGCTTCATTATTCCTTCATTTATTATATAAACACTTCTATAAAGAGAAATATTACTGACTGATTAACACTATGGTGCTCAAATGGTGGTAGTGTTCACCAGGAATTCGGGGGTTGGGGGGGTAGACCCACATCTTAGGGATGTGGTGAGCATTGTGGAGGGGAAGGGCATAACTCTAACCCTTCCTAGGGAGAGGCAAAGATATAAAATGTAACCAAAATGTTAAAAACAAACAAACAAAACATTTATCGAGGGGCCGGGCACGTTGGCTGTAATCCTAGCACTCTGGGAGGCCGAGGGGTGGATTGCTCAAGGTCAGGAGTTCAAAACCAGCCTGAGCAAGAGTGAGACCCGCTCTACGGAGCGATGAGATAATAAATAGAAGGAAATAATTGGAACAATATAGGAATACGAAAAATTAGCCAGGCATGGTGCGCATGCCTGTAGCCCAGCTACTCGGGAGCTGAAGGCAGCAGCACACTTGAGCCCCAGGACTTGAGGTTGCTGTGAGCTAGGACTGTCGCCGATGCACTCACACTCGTAGCCTGGGCCAGACAAAGGAACTCCTGTCTCAAAAAAACAAGACAAAAAAGAACATTATCGAGTGCGTACCAGATGAGGGAGGGATGGGTATCGATGACAACAATAATGAGGGGGGGGGGGGGGGGGCGGAATAAGTGGACCATGCAGTGTGATGTGGTACCAGTGGGGCATGACACGCTGTAGCTGCTGCACCAGAGGAGCGGGAGCAAGCATAAATGTAACTACATTTATCAGACCCATAATATCGAAAAAAGGGGCGCGGGCAGCAATATATAAAACTTAACAGTTTTTAGTACGACATAATCATGACTGAAATTTAAAAAAGAAGAGAAATTACCTCGCCTTTACCCGACCTATCTTAGTTCCTATAGAGGAAGGCACTCAGCATTTTCCAAGAGCCCATGATTCTTTTTTTTTTGAGCACGATTCGCGCTTTGTGCCAAGCCAGAGTGAGTGCCATGGCCGTCAGCCAGGCTCATCAGCACACCTCAACTCACCTGGCTCAGCTAATCCACGCTGCCGCAGCCTGAAAGCTGGACTACATCGAATACGGGACTAGCCACCGAGCGCTCATTAAGCAGGCGGTTTCAACTCCGACCTGCCGAGCATCCACACATAGCACAACACACACCAGAGTGCTGAGGATTACAGGCATGGAGCCACCACGCCTATCCCCTGGATTCTTTTAGTGGAAAAGAGCTGTCTATAAAGAAAAACAATCAGTTTCACATTGCTGTTTATTTGACCAGATGCAAAGTTGATTTTACTGGAGACAGTTAATTATCCTGCAAATACTTTTTTTTATTTGAAGACAGGTTTATCACTCTGTCAGCCTTGACTAGAGTGCAGTGTGTCTCATAGCTCACTGCAACCTCAAACTCCTGGGCCCAAGTGATCTTCCCACCTTCCAGCTCCTGATACCTTGGACTTAGTGCAGCCACTATTTCCAGCTATTTGTTTTTTTTTCTTTTTGAGACAACCTGCTCTGTTGCCCTGGCTAGAGTGGAGTGCCGTGGCATCAGCCTAGCTCACAGCAACCTCAACTCCTGGCGCCTCAGCTCCTTGCTGCGCTCAGCCTCCTGAGTAGCTTGGGCTAAAGGACATGTGCCACCATAGCGCTAATTTGTTTCTAATAATAGTTGCCAATTAGATGCTCTCTATATTTGAGGAGAGACAGGGTCCTGCCTGCTCAGGCGGTATGAGAAGCCTCCTGACCATCGACATCCACCCCCTCCAACCTCCCGGAGAGCTAGGATCTACAGGTGTGACACTCGCGCCGGCTTCCAGCAAATTATTTGAATTTTTGTAGAGAGCCGAGTTTAAACGCCTAACCTCCAACATCCTCCACGTTGGCCTCACAAGTGTTTGACGCATAGTACAGGCATCAGCACTGTGCCGTGCCAATAAATAGTTTAAGAAGAGGGCACCTCAATTACTAATCTACTTTACATTTTCCTACATTTTCTTAGTGAGTATTGCTAAGAATGGTGTTAGGAATAGAGAAGGAATTAAGCCTCATTCTTATCATCCTTTAATTTATCAACTAAAAGGGAGCACGTAAGAAAGAAAATCTAGTAGATTTCTTAGCATTCTGGTAACATTTTTTAAAAAGAACTTGCTTTCTGTGACCTTAAGAGACTGGTCAATAGGTACGTCTCGCGTTATAGAGGAGGACGTCCAGATATGGAAGTTTAGATCGACTTTGTACACACTCCGTAAGAGACAGTTTAGGTTGTTTGGGTCTTGTTTGTTATTTTGGTTTGTTATAAGACAGAGTTCTGGCTCTGTTTCCAGGCAGAGTGCATTGTGCTGAATCATGAGCTAACTGTAAAGCCTCAAACTCCTGCCGCAGTGATCTGTCTGCTGTAAACCTCATAGCAAGGCGCCACTCAGTTATCACCCACATGCTGCTAAGTTTTCTGGGTGTGGTGGTTCTTTGTGGCTTTAGAGAGAAGGCGGGGTCTGCTTTGTATTGTAGCTGGTCTTCAGAAACTGCTGGAAGCAACCCCTCTCATTAGCCCTCCACAAAGCATAGGATTACGAGTCGTGAGCCCAACTGCACTGCGGCGTGTTCGTTTATCACATGGTGATAATAAAAAGAGCGACTTAGCTTTTCAATACACATCAAGGCCTCCAAGAGTCATTGGGATTAGAATTAACAAAGACATGTATAAAAAACTAAATTTTGACGCCTTCAGTTTTATTAAAAGAGGATATACTCAAAAAGTCCATGAGTCATCTTGGTAGAGTAAGAAATTATGTAGAGATATGGAATATGGCTATCTAGGAAGCCCAGTGAGCTCTTTTTTTTTTTTTCTGTGAGACAGAGTCCCCTCTGTTGCCAGCAAAGTGCCGTGTACTCACCTAGCTCACACAACCTCAAATCCTGGGCTCAGCTCGATCCTACGCCTCAGCCCCGCCCGAGACTAGGACCTACAGGGTGATCACCTACCATGCCAGCAGTTTTTTCTCATATATTTTGACAGCTAATTTCCTTCTATTAGTAAGTAGATACTCTGCTTACGCTGGTCGTTAAACTCCGAGCTCAAGAATCCACCCACCTGCGGTCCAGCGCTAGGATTACAGGTGAGCCACCGATGGGCCCGCTACTCTTTTTCTTTTTTTTTGTTTTGGCTAATAAGAGAGCGTATCCTGAGTAAATTTGAATTTTCTAGAGGCCGATTATCTTAGATACCGCATAACTGATTTCAAACCACTTTCAGTCCCATGTGAATGCAATGGAATGCTGATGGCATTAATGACACAAGATACAGTTGCATTAAACATCTGTGGGGAAATGGACTTTTTGAAGTCAGAGACTTGAATTCAAATTCCATCTTGGGCTAGGCATGGTAGCTCACGCCTGACTCAGGAGGCTGAGGGGAGGAGATGGTTTGAGCCCAGGAGTTTAAGACCAGCTGGGCATCATAGTGAGACTCTTACTCTAAAAAAAATAATAAGTAAGTAAAAAACAAATTCCAATTTGTAGCTTACTAGCTGTATGAACTTAATAGAATATTCAAAATATTTTATAGAACTTTTTAAAAAACCCACTGTGAAACTTGAATTAGTCCTTGTACATGGTTTTGTCCTCAAGATACCAGTTCTGAGGGACTTACTTATTTATTTTTTCAGTTTGCTATCAACACACCACCTACTCCAGAAGACCTGATGTTAAGTCAGTATGTTTATCGACCGAAGATTCAGATTTATAAAGAAGATTGTGAAACTCGTTGCCAAAAGATTGAAGAGTAAGAAAGCTTTGATTTTTGTGTGAATGGGATTTTTGTTTGTTTGTTTTGCTTGGTGGATCAGTGAATAGTCTGTGTGGTAAAGTTTTGATTAGAATAACATTGGCATGGGAAAAAGTTGATGGCATTAACTGCAATGTGATATGAGGGAAAGAGTGTCAGCTTTGTAGTCAGATTAAATGAAGCTCAGTCCTGGCTACAACACTAGCTGTGTAACCTTGGGTAAGTCATTTAACTTTCATTTCCAAATCTGTACAGTAGAGATAAAATCTACTCAGTCAATAGAAATGAACAGTAGAAATAGTGTATATAAAATATTTTTGGGCCGGGCGCAGTGGCTCACGCCTGTAATCCTAGCACTCTGGGAGGCCAAAGTGGGAGGATTGCTTGAGCTCAGGAATTCAAGACCAACCTGAGCAAGAGCGAGACCCTTTCTCTACTATAAATAGAAAGAAAATTAGCCAAACAGCTAAAAATAGAAAAAATTGGCTGGGCATGGTGGTACATGCCTGTAGTCCCAGCTACTTGGGAGACTGAGGCAGAAGGATTGCTTGAGCCCAGGAGTTTGAGATTGCTGTGACATAGGCTCATGGCACTCTAACTCAGGCTACAGAGTGAGACTCTGTCTCAAAAAAAAAAAAAAAAAAAAAGGTTTCATACTATTCTGAGCAAAAAATAGGTCCTCAATAAAAATAAATAATAATTGTTAGCTTATGATATTATAAATTGATTGCTACAGAACATCTTCAAAAGAAGATAGTACCCTTTAGGGATTTATACAGGTTCAGTATTCCTGATTTGAAAATTGGAAATGCTTTTTGATCACTGACATGATGCCACAAGTGGAAAATTCCACACACAAGTACATAGACTTTGTTTCAGTAGACAAAATTATTTGAAATGTAGTATAAAATTAATTTCATATTATGTGTATAAGGTATATATGAAACATAAATGAATTTCATGTTTAGATTTGGGTCCCCTCCCCAAGATAACTCATTATGTATATCCAAATATTCCAGCATCTGACAAAGTCCAAAATCCAAAACACTTCTGGTAGCAAGCATTTTGGATGAGGTATGAACAACCTGTATATAATGGCTGAAATCAAATTGCCCAGGTTTATAATTTTATCATATTTGCCCTTGATTTGCATATGTAAAAGATCATGGTTTTACTTAGAAGATAGCTCATTGCTTTGGTGTATGTAAATGCTGCAGACTAATTTATAAATTAGATATATCTTGATTACCTTAGGTAAATCAGGATTTACAACCTAATGTTTATGTCATTCTTATCTAGGACTATCCAACTAAATTTGAACCAATCTAACAGACAGAAAAGAAATATAATCTTTACGAATTATATTGTTTTAAAAGAAATTTAAGATACTGTTAAATTATAGTACTTAAAATTTGCCTGATTCTGGATTTGTTCGCTCAATAAATATTTATTGAGCGCCTACATGTGCTAGGCACTGTACTAAGTGTTGGAGTTTATCACTAAACAAGACAGACAAGTTTCTTCCTGTTGTTTAAAAGAGTTGAGTGTTTGGATTTGTCTGAGAATGTTTTATTTTCAATGAACTGTGATCTTGAACTCAATGAGCAGTATTTTTAGATGTCTTCTATTTGATTTTGCACCTACGTGCCTTTGTATATCTTCTAACTCTAATAGAAATATATTTCCTCCACTTATTAACAAGAGACTAATAATATATGTTGCATTTACAATAGCTTTGCTACTTTTATAGATGCTATTCTATAATGGTGAGCTGTGACTGAACTTAATTGGGGACTTTTACCTAAACTAATAGCTATAACTTCATAGCAGTTATTATTGACAGACCTTAAGGGTACTTTATAAGCAACATGTTTTTATGTTGGAGCAAGCTGATAACATCAAGATGAGAATTCTGTTAGTGAAAGAAGTTTTTTTGGTTTATGATATTCTTGAACTGCTGTTCTAGTGAATAGTTAGGCTGGCCATTTGTCTTAAGTGAATTCCCCTCTTTTTATGTAGAGAAAAAGTAGGAAAAATTAAATTAAGTATGCCTATAGATCTTAGCTGATTTATTTAAGCTGGCTTCTGAACCCTGTGCTAATAAACTTCTCTGTATTTTAGATTAAAGCTTTCTGCATTGAACCAAGATAAACTATTGGCTGATATAAATAGGAGCCTGTGGGAAAAAATGAGACACTATTCTGATGAACAGGTACTTTTGTCTCATTTTCTGAACGGAAATCAGTATAGACATTTTGAACAGTGTTTATTGTGAAATAAATAACTATTACTTGATCATTAGTTATGAGTTCATTAACTTATTTCTTAGATGTAATATGCTACCAAGGTCTTATTTAATTATATATAAGTAATTGTTAATATGTAATCTTGTCAAACCTGTGGTGATCAATTTAATATATGAAATATATTTGAAGTTTATTTGAGTTCCTTCCTGTGTGCCTTTCACTTAGATTTAGATGAAGAAAAGTTTACTTTAGTTGATAAAATACTAGATGACCCATTTTGTATGTGCCCTAATATAGTAAAACTAGGAACCTGTCATTTTTTAATTTGTAATATGAATAAACAAATTAAAAGCAGGAATCAAACTATAATCATTGGTTATGTTCTTAAACAATTATATGGAATTAAATTTGTAATGAGAAGTATCCTGCCTTAGGAATCATAATCTAGGATAGGTAAAGCCTAGCACATGGCAGATCATTTACCTTTTCTGACATGTACTCTTTAACTATCTCTTACAGCTGAAGGCCTTTGGAATATACCTTAACAAAATAAAATCACGTTTTACCAAGATGACTAAAGTTTTCACTCACCAAGGAAAAGTGGCTCTATATGGCAAGCTGGCGCAATCAGCTCAGGTAATTTGAGAGACTTAACATCATAGAAAGAAAGAGATATTAAAATTACTTTATAGTGGTTGTGGAATATGAAGAATGTTTCTTAGGAGATACACAAATAAGACTTGGACAAAAACTTAACAATTGTTTATAAGAGGTGAGATTCAATTTGTCAAAAGTGGCAAATCCTGGTATCTTGAGTAATATTGGAATATAGTTACTAATACGGGCCTATGTCTCATTTTAAATGTTGTCATTCATTATACATATTAAAATATATATAAGATTCTAGGCCGGGCGCGGTGGCTCACGCCTGTAATCCTAGCACTCTGGGAGGCCGAGGCGGGCGGATTGCTCGAGGTCAGGAGTTCAAAACCAGCCTGAGCAAGAGCGAGACCCCGTCTCTACTAAAAATAGAAAGAAATTAATTGGCCAACTAATATATATAGAAAAAATTAGCCGGGCATGGTGGCGCATGCCTATAGTCCCAGCTACTCGGGAGGCTGAGGCAGTAGGATCACTTGAGCCCAGGAATTTGAGGTTGCTGTGAGCTAGTTTGATGCCACGGCACTCATTCTAGCCTGGGCAACAAAGTGAGACTTTGTCTCAAAATAAATAAATAAATAAGTAAGTTAATTAATTAATTAATTATATATAAGATTCTAGTCTCCTGTTGATAAGGACTGTATCATAGTATTATCTTCCTCATAGTTCATACAGAGCTATATATGTGTATGCATATGTATTTTCCAAAATGACTATCCTTTTGAAAATGGTCTGCATTATGGTGCACTAGTACTCATGAAAAGGAAAAAAGAAGATAGAATATTTAAAAAAAAAAAGTGTCTGCATAAAAAAACTTTCCATTGCAAATAAGTATGGGAAATGTTTCATGCAATATCCCCTTTAGGAGAAATATAAACTTTTTAAAGTCTAAAAACAAAGTAGTCTATAATTCTGAAGAACTATTTTTCAAAGTAATGAATATTAATATCCTATGTTCCATGGGACACATATAGAAATGCTGCAATAAAGGAAGCATAAAAATCTGCCTTTTTTTTTTTTCTTTTTTTGAGACAGGGTCTTGCTCTGTCTCCTGAGCTAGAGTACAGTGGTACTCTAGTGGTACATCATAGCTCACTGTAACCTCAAACTCCTGGGTTCTAGTGATCCTCCTGCCTCAGCCTCCCAAGTAGCTGGGAATATAGGCAGGGGCATGTCATCATGCCCTGCTAATTTTTCTGTTTTTGGTAGAGATGGGATCTCACTCTTGCTGAGGCTGGTCTCGAACTCCTGGGCTCAAGCTATCCTCCCGTCTTGGCCTCTCAAAGTGCTAGGATTACAGGCATGAGCCATGATTCCTGGCCTTAAACTGCTTTTTTAAAAAAATTATTTTATTTTATATAAATTTATAAAATAAATTTACTTCACAAAATTTATTTTCATTTATTTTTAAGTTCAGACTTGAAGCTATGACCTTCATTTTAAAATTTGCCCATTCATGATTGAGATATAGTAATTTTGTCAGCAGTTTGAACCATTTCTAATATTTTAGAGGTTTAACTTGACAGTCTATAATATTCTGTGTTTAGAATGAAAGGGAGAAACTTCAGATAAGGATAGATGAGATGGACAACATACTTAAGAAGATCAATAACTGTCTCACTGAGGTGGAAATAGGTAAAGTATTTGAAATACTTTTCCAAAAGAAATTTTAATTTTATATGCTTTCATACAGTAGAGATTGTTGATATCATTATGTTGAAGACGTCTATCAGCAGCTTTAGACATTAAATTAGAGCAAATTAAAGCCCCTTTTTTCAAAGATCACATAATTCCACATAATCATCAAATTTGGTCCCTCTTAGTCCTTAGCTATCTTGAACTCTCTTTTAGCATTTGACACGGCTAATTGTTCTTTTCTTCCTGAAACTTTCATCTCCTTTCACCTCTATTGCACTACCTTGACCCTATTCTTTTATCCTGGCTCTTCCTTTCTACTCCTCTATTGACTTCTCTTTCTCTAACCCCTTGTGGGGGATTTAGATTTTATCATCTGTTCTTTTCTATATTCTCCCTCCTAATGTTTTCATCTGCCTTAATTATGCTTGTGTGACTAATCCCCAAATTCAGTTAAATTCATCATGTATTTGTTTTGGTTTTTGTTGTTTTTTATTTTTTTAAGACAGTCTCACTCTGTTGCCCAGACTAGAGTGCCACGGTGTCAGTCTAGCTCACAGCAACCTCAAACTCCTGGGCTCAAGCAATCCTCCCGCCTCAGCCTCCCAGAGTGCTAGGATTACAGGCCGTGAGCCACCATGCCCAGCCCATGTATTTGTTAAACATATAGTACATGACAGATAAGGTACTTTTGTATTAGAAAAATAAAATAAAATTAAGATATTTAAGACACATATTTTGTCCTTAAGTAACTTAAAATCATTTTGGATCGGGGTCATTTTTGGCATCTTTCTCTTGAGTTCCAGACTTAGATTTCTAGCTTCGTTCTGAACCTCTATGCAAAAATATCCTTAAGTACCTTCAATTCTCCAAATAGAATGAAATTTATTATCCTCTCCCATCTCCAAAATCAAATTCAAGAACTTGTTTTCTCTATGATGTTTCTCATCTCTATTAAAGGCTTCACAATTCTGATATGTTATAAAAGGCTCAAAACTTTCAATGTCTTTGACACTCTTAACAAGTCCTGTCATATCTGCTTCTTCAGCATCTCTTGTATTTTTCCCCCTTCTCATTAAGGCTCACATTAATTCTGAAATGTGCAATTTTAGGTCTTCTAACTAATCCATCATTCTGTCTCCTTTCAGTCCATCCTTCACATTGGTGCCAGATTAATAATTATGAAGGACAGTTTTCATAATTTTACACCCCCCAAAAACTTTTATCTTTCTATTTATAAAAAAATAAAGTCCAAACTCCTAAGCTTCACATTTAACATTCTCTTTAATCATATTCAGATCTTCTTTTTACATGACTTGCTAATACTCCCTTATACATCTTAAATTCCAACCAAATCTTGCCATTTCTATGCAGTTCTGCCACTTTTGTCTTTGCTAATTCATTCTTCTTCTATTTTTCACCAAAGGAATTAGTCTCTATATTCCTTGAGCTCCCACAGCTATTTTGTTAGTACTTCTTATATAGTACCCATCATGCCTATTCATACTATAGTTATTGTACAGTTTATCTTCCTAATTAAATATAAGCTCCATGGAGGCAAAGATCAGCTCTTATTTTTCTCTGTATTTTTCAAAGTCTTTAACGCTATACTTTGCACAGAATAAGTGCCTAGTACATGTTTTCTGCATTGAATTGACAATTGTGTATATGAAATCCGTAGTCTAAGACTACTCTACCCCTTTATTCATTACTTTACTTTCTACTTCACAGAAAAAAATAGAAGCCATCAGGTAGAACGTCTAAGCTTCCTACTATTAAAGAAATAATCTCTGATTGTTTAATAAATTTTTTGACCGAGTTTTTCCTAATACATGTTATTATCTACTTTAGAAACTAAGAATTTGGAGAATGAAGACAAAGACAATCCTATGGAAGAAGGGGTTTCTGAAATAAGAGTTGCAGAGAAAGGTAACTGAATTAGTTAAGGAGATAAATGGGAAAACACGCCCTTCTGTTCTGTTTGTATATTTAGGTGAGATTAAGTCAGAATTTTCAGTGAGACAGATGATTTTTGTGGCAACATTCTAATGTATCCATTTTGGATTTTTTTTTTCTTTTTAAAGAATTAGAACAGCTGAAAACTGAAGAAGAAGAGCTTCAAAGGTCAGTCTTCAATCCAAGTGTTAGAAAATATAATGCTCAACTCCTAGGCTAAATGACTTCCTGCCTCCAGAGACTGACAGAATTGGGGACATGACTCTTGACTAAGGCTGACTCAGGGCTTCTGCTCCACTTTGAATTGGACCCTAGAAACCATCTTAGTCAACAATATTTTCGAAGCACTTATTGTTTGAATACTATCAGTATCTTTTTAAAGAAAATAAGCCTAGCATTAAACTGCTTTTATATTATATTTAAGTAAATATAAAAGGAGGTATATATTTCTTAGGCTTATAACTCTTATTTAACTGTAAGACAAAAAGAAAGTAGGCCCAGAATGGTAGCTCTCACCTGTAACCCTAGCACTCTGGGAGGCTGAGGTGAGATCACTTAAGCCCAGGAGTTTAAGACTAGCCTGGGCAATGTAGGAAGACCCTTTCTCTACAAAAAATAAAAACATTAGCCCAGCATGGTGGAGCATTCCTGTAGTTCCAGCTACTCGGGAGGTTGAGACAGGAGGATTGCTTGAGGCCAGGAGTTCAAGACCAGTTGGGGCAACATAGAAGACCCTGTCTCTAAAAAAAAAAGAAGAAGAAGAAGAAAAAAAACAAGCCAGGTATGGTGGCATGCACCTGTAGTCCCAGCTACTCAAGAGGTTAAGGCAGGAGAAACACTGGAGCCCAGGAGTTTGAGGCTGCAGTGAGCTATGATTGCCCTAGCCTGGGTGACAGAACAAGACCCTATCTCTAAAAATAAAATAAAATAATTTTAACTAAAAATGTAATATTTAATAATTATCTTATGTGAATCCCAGGGATGTCTTCGTGGATCCTAATTTGAAAGACAATGATTTATAACTTTCTTAAGTAGACCCACTTATAGATTAATGCTTATCAAAAAAAAAAAACAAGGCCGGGCGCCGTGGCTCACGCCTGTAATCCTAGCACTTTGGGAGGCCGAGGCGGGCGGATTGCTCAAGGTGAGGAGTTCGAAACCAGCCTGAGCGAGACCCCGTCTCTACCAAAAATAGAAATAAATTAATTGACCAACTAAAAATATCTAATATACAAAATTAGCGGGCATGGTTGTGCATGGCTGTATCCCAGCTACTCGGGAGGCTGAGGCAGGAGGATCGCTGAGCCCAGGAGATTGAGGTTGCTGTGAGCTAGGCTGACGCCACGGCAATCACTCTAGCCTGGGCAACAAAGTGAGACTCTGTCCCCCAAAAAAAAAAAAAAAGGCCAAGCACAGTGGCTCATGTCTGTAATCATAGCACTCTGGTATGCCAAGACAGGAGGATCGCTCAAGGTCAGGAGTTTGAAATCAGCCTAAGCAAGAGCGAGACCCCGTCTCTACTAAAAGTAGAAAGAAATTAATTGACCAACTAAAAATATATAGAAAAAATTAGCTGGGCATGGTGGTGCATGCCTATGGTCCCAGCTACTTGGGAGGCTGAGGCAGTAGGATCACTTGAACCCAAGAGTTTGAGGTTGCTGTGAGCTAAGCTGATGCCATGGCACTCATTCTAGCCTGGGCAAAGTGAGACACTGTCTAAAAAAAAAAAAAAAAAACCAAAGAAACTAAAACTAATAATGTAGAAATAGATGCCATATACCTGCATTGTTACCTCAATAGGGCGCTATCTAGCATATGAATTATTGTTACAAACCTTTTAGACTAATAATCTGAATTCTCTAACAAAGGCCTTATCTTTATATGAATACCTGCTTTTATTTGCAGAAATCTCTTAGAACTGGAGGTACAAAAAGAGCAGACACTTGCTCAAATAGACTTTCTGCAAAAACAAACAAAGAGGACTGAAGAGCTACTGGATCAGTTGAGGTAAGGAAAAGCAGGTGTTATTAGTTTCTGTCTTATCCTGTGCCTTAGTGGTTGTCTGAACTACTGGAAGAGTTGATATGTTTTTAATGTGTTGCTGTTTTTAACCTATAGTACAGTGCAACTTCAGAAAGACAGTATGATCAATACTAAGCTGAAAATATACAGAGTTGGAGAACTATGAAATTATTATTTTTAAATATTTAACACTTCACATTGCATAGACTTGGATTTTTCTGTGGTATACAACTCAAGATTGATCTCTTATTTATTTCAAAAGCAAAAGTTTGTACATTTACAATATTTGAATTGAAATATTGTCTCCCAATCCAGTGGAAAAACATTAGTAGCTGCTGTTGGTACTCTTTGAGTGGTACCAGTTCCCCCTCTTCTTTTTTTTTTTTTTGAGACAGAGTCTCACTTTGTTGCCCAGGCTAGAGTGAGTGCCGTGGCATCAGCCTAGCTCACAGCAACCTCAATTTCCTGGGCTCAAGCAATCCTGCTGCCTCAGCCTCCCGAGTAGCTGGGACTACAGGCATGCGCAACCATGCCTGGCTGATTTTTTCGATATATTAGTTGGCCAATTAATTTCTTTCTTTTTATAGTAGAGACGGGGTCTCGCTCTTGCTCAGACTGGTTTCGAACTCCTGACCTCGAGCAATCCGCCCGCCTCGGCCTCCCAGAGTGCTAGGATTACAGGTGTGAGCCACCACACCCGGCCTTCCCCCTTCTTTTATCTTAGGGAAAAAAAATTCTTATCTTGTTTATCTTTCTCCAGCCTGTCTGAATGGGATATCATTGAGTGGAGTGACGACCAAGCTGTATTCACCTTTGTTTATGACACAGTAGAACTCACCATCAGCTTTGGAGAATCAGTAGGTGAGTAGCCAAAGCAAGACAGCTCCTCTGCAGAAAAATGAATGGCTAAACTCACTAAAAATTCAAATGGTAACTTTTTTTTTTTTTTGAAATTGTCTCACTTTGTTGCCAGGGCAATATGATCATGTGTCTGGTCCAAGGCGCTCCTGCCTCAGCCCTGAGTAGCGGGAGGTGCGGTATACCACCATGCCCAGCTAATTTTTTAGTATATTTTTGTGGGTCTCACTCTTTTTTTTTTTTTTTTTTTGAGACAGATTCTCACTCTGTTGCCCAGGCTAAAGTGCCGTGGATTCAACCTAGCTCACAGCAACCTCCAACTCCTGGGCTCAAGTAATCCTTCTGTCTCAGCCTCCCGAGTAGCTGGGACTACAGGCATGCGCCACCATGCCTAACTAATTTTTTCTATATATAATTTTAGTTGGCCAATTAATTTCTTTCTATTTTTTAGTAGCGACATAGTCTTGCTCTTGCCCAGGCTGGTTTCGAACTCCTGACCTCAAGCAATCCTCCCACCTCGGCCTCCCAAAATGCTAGGATTAGAGGCACGAGTCACCACCACCAGCCTAAATGATTACTATTGACACAATGAGAGCACTGCTGAAAATCTTAAAAGAATCAATTGCTTTAGTGATAATATAATTTTATTTTATTACATAATGAATAAAAACTGCAGCTAGTGAATATTGCCCTGTGTTGAATTATATTAGATGATAATAATTTTTTTTGTTGTTTTTTTTGTAGACAGTCTCACTCTGTCACCCTGGGTAGAGTACAGTGGCATGAGCATAGCTCACTGCAACCTCCAGCTCCTGGGCTCAAGCAATCCTCCTATCTCAGCCTCCCAAGTAGCTGGGGCTATAAGCACGTGCCACATTGCCCGCCTAATTTTTCTATTTTTAGTAGAGATGGTGTCTCACTCTTGCTTAGGCTGGTCTCAAACTCCTGAGCTCAGGCAATCCTCCCTCCTCAGCCTCCCAGAGTGCTAGGATGATAGGCATGAGCCACCGCGCCTGGCCATGTCAATAGTTGTCTTTAACCTTGATGACTACAATAACATTCTAACTGCTGTTTATGGATCTTCCTTTCCTCTCCAATTCATTCTCTTTCCTATAACTGTAGCGATAATTAAAATCTGATCATGCACTTACTACTCTTAGGCTTATGATAAAAATATTTAATGTAGTCTATAAAGCTTTGCATGAATTGAATTTTTCTCATTTTCCTGACTCATCTTTTATTATTAATGCCTACCAATTCTCTGCATGTTGGCCATGATAGACTTCTTTCATTTCCTTAAATGATTATGATCTTTTATGCTCAGTCATATTCCATCCTACATCAAGACCTTCATGCTGATATTTCTTATGCCTAGGAACTCTTTCCCTGCCCTTATAAATTCCTATTAATAATCCTTAAGAGCTAAGCCTCAATTACCACTTTCTCAGGAAAGTTTTCCTTGCCATTTTCCCTCTTTAGTATAGATGCTATCTCTACTAAAAATAGAAAAATTAGGCAGGTGATGTGGTACGTACCTATAGTCAGTCCCAGCTACTCAGGAAGCTGAGATAGGAGGATCGCTTGAGCCCAGGAGTTGGAGGTTACAGTGAGCTATGATGATGCCACTGTACTATACCCAGGACTACAGAGTAAGATTCTGTCTCAAAAAAAAAAAATTATTGTCATCTAATATAATTCAACAAAGGGCAATATTCACTAGCTGCAGTGTGTATTCTTTATCTAATAAATATATGTCCTCATTGCTTCCTGCAGTTTTCCTTGATAGTGCTTATCACAGTTTGTAGTTCTCAGTATGTTTATTAGTACAATGATCTGTGTATCCCCTTAAGTTGCAAGCCCCTTGAGGGCATAGGTTGAGCATGTCTATTTTCATCATTATGGTGTCCATAGTGCCTAACACTTAGAAAATATTTAACAAAGAGAAAAGAATTTGAAAGACAGGAGATAACTCTAGAGTCTAGAGGAGTGAGCATCTATCCTAGCTACCTAAAACTTATTACAGCAATGTTAAGAGCATAAATCATTTTTATTCTATTTGTACAAGGATAGTAGGTGTGAGGAGGTCATAGTCATTTTCCTTATATGATTCCTGAAAATAAAATTATCTTTGCCCAGAAGTTAGGGGTTATAGGGGGAGGCCTTAACAAATATAACTGTGTACTGCAGTTTAAATTTCCTTCAAAGTTCTACCAATAAATGTAGTTGAGCAGTATCAGGGGACCCTTTACCATATTCAGAATGATATGCTTCAAGGCAAAACTTCCAATTGCCTATTGACAAAAGCCCTGATACCCAGAAGGAGTAGGATTCTAAACTACTGAGTTTTATGTGGTTTAAAATCAATAAAAATAGGCTGGGTGCAGTGGCTCATGCCTGTAATCCTAGCACTCTGGAAGGCCAAGGCTGGAGAATCATTTGAGCTCAGGAGTTTGAGACCAGGCTGAGCAAGAGCAAGAGCAAGACCCCGTCTCTACTAAAAAAATATAAATTAGCTGGACAACTAAAAATATATATAGAAAAACTTAGCCAGGTATGGTGTCACATGCCTGTAGTCCCAGCTACTCAGGAGACTGAGGCAAAAGGATTGTTTGAGCCCAGGAGTTTGAGGTTGCTGTGAGCTAGGCTGACCTACTGCACTCTAGCCCAGGCAACAGAGTGAGACTTTGTTTCAATAAAATGAGTAAAAATAAATACTCTCCTTATTCTGGTTTTTCCTAGTTGGTTGCTGTTTCCTGGAGAAGCCTGACAAGAAGATTGTGGACATGAATTTTCAATCTCTGTTGGATGGTAAGTTCAAAACATTTAAGCCTCTAAAGATTTGTTGGTGATTTACAGGTATCAATTGTTTCTCAAGAAGTCTTTCACATACTAGGTTAAATATAAACAATAATAATAATTTCTCCTTAGAAATATGTATTAGGGCTGAACGCCAGTGGCTCACACTTGTAATCCTAGCACTCTGGGAGGTCGAGGTGAGTGGATCACTCAAGGTCAGGAGTTCGAAACCAGCCTGAGCAAGAGTGAGACCTCGTCTCTACTAAAAATAGAAAGAAAAATAGGACAACTAAAAATATATAGAAAAAATTAGCCGGGCATGGTGGCACATGTTAATAGTCCCAGCTACTTGGGAGGCTGAAACAAAAGGATTGCTTAAGCCCAGGAGTTTGAGGTTGCTGTGAGCTAGGCTTATGCCACGGCACTCTAGCCCAGGCAACAGAGTGAGACTCTGTCTGAAAAAAAAAGAAATGTGTATTAAATGTAAAACTGGGTAATATTGCAAATATTATGTAGGTTTTAAAAGAAATTCTTTATTATTACTAGGTCTTGAGCAATGATTAATAATAGCTATTTCCATAATTTAAAAATCACCACTGTGAGCCCTTAGTCTGTATTGGACATGTATATTATTTACATTAACAGTATAAAGGACGTATTAATTCCCCAGTTTACAAATTATGAAAGTACAGATCAAAAAAATTAAGTGTTGTGCTTGGTATCAGTTAATAAAGAAAGCCAGACTTAAACTCAGTTTTATGTTACATTAAGTACTATTCTATATGTAATAAAGGCTTGAGTTTTTGTAGCAATGTCTTATGTTTATCATACATTTTACAATCATGTTTCAAAATAAAATTGGAGGAGGATCCTTATGTACCTAGTAGTTTGAGGGTATTTTTACCTTATATGATAGGGTGTTTTTTGCTTATCTAAAATATATGAATAATAAGTAATATCCTGCTTTTGATTTTTTTTTCCTTTCCCAGAGGATAAAGCTCCTCCTTCCTCCATTTTAGTTCATAAACTTATTTTCCAGTACATTAAAGAACAGGAATCTTGGAAAAAGAAATGTACAACACAGCATGAGATACCCAAGGTAAAAGTCTGATTGAAGTATTTAAAGGAAAATTCATGTTATTTTCCCTAACAGCAGAACTGAAATTTTACGTATATGATGGTGGATCCTGAAATGATAAATATATTCAATTGTTTGGCTTTTTAGGGTTCTTTATAAAAGAGCTACCAAACATTAGTGTTTTCATAATTTCATCAATTTTTCCCCCTATTTTTTCTAGATGCTTCAAGAACTCTCAATGGCAGTAAACCATTGCAGACTCCTTGGAGAGGAGATTGAGTTTTTAAAGAGATGGGGACCAAATTATAACCTGATGAACATAGATGTAAATAATACTGAGTAAGTATATTAGTTCCCTAGGACTACCGTAACAAAATACTATACATTGGATGCCTTAAACCTGTGGTCCCCAAACCCTGAGCCTCGGATCAGTGCCAGTCCCTGGCCTCTTAGGAACCAGGCTGCACAGTAGGAAGTGAGCATAGGGAGTGTGAGCAAAGCTTCATCTGTATTTACAATCACTCGCATCACCACATGAGCTCCACCTCCTGTCAGATAAGCTACAGCATTAGATTCTCATAGGAGCTCCAATCTTACAGTAAACTGTGCATGCGAGGGACCTAGATTACACACTCCTTATAGGAATCTGATGCCTGATGATCTGAGGTGGACCTGAGGTGGACCTGAGGTGGTGATGTTAATGCTGGGGAGCAGCTGCAAATACAGATTGTCATTAGTAGAGAGGTTTGACTGCACAATAAATGTAATGTGCTTGAATCATCCCAAAACCATTCCCCTGGCCCTGGTCCATGGAAAAATTGTTTTCCATGAAATTGGTCCCTGGTGCCAAAAAGGTTGGGGACCACTGGCTTAAACAACACAAATTCATTGTTTCACACTTCCAGAGGCTAGAAATCTGAGATCAAGGTGTAATCAGGGTTGATTCTTTCTGAGGGCCGTGAGACGGAATTGTTTCCGTGCCTTTCTTCTAACGTCTGGTGGTTTACTGGCAATCTTTGGCATTCCTTGGCTTAAAATGTATAACCCTGATCTCTGCCTTCATCCTCACACAGTGTTCTTTCATTGCACATGTCTGTGTCCAAATTTCCTCCTTTTTGTAAAGGACAGCAGTCATATTGGATTAGGGGCCCACCCTACTCCAATAAGACCTCATTTAACCTATTTCATCTATAATGATCTGATTTCCAAATAAAGTCACATTCTAAGGTTTGGGGGTATTAGCACTTAAACATAGAATTCTGAGGGAATACAATTTAACCCATAACAGTAAGTAATTAGTTAAAAACTTATTAAACTAGCCTGGTGTGGTGGCTCTCGGCTGTAATCCTAGCACTCTGGGAGGCCGAGGCGGGTGGATTGCTCAAGATCCGGAGTTCGAAACCAGCCTGAGCAAGAGCGAGACCCCATCTCTACTAAAAATAGAAAGAAATTAATTGGTCAACTAAAAATATATAGAAAAAATTAGCTGGGCATGGTGGTGCATGCCTGTAGTGCCAGCTACTCGGGAGGCTGAGGCAGGAGGATCGTCTGAGCCCAGGAGTTTGAGGTTGCTGTGAGCTAGGCTGATGCCATGGCACTGACTCTAGCCTGGGGAAACAGAGTGAGACTATGCCCCCTCCCCCCAAAAAATATCTTGTTCTAGATGTTTTACCTTGTTCATTTGGTAAGGGCAAGAAATAATTTACACTTAATTTTGGCATGCCAGTGTAAAAAGAAAATGTATTTGTTTTTCAGTCTAGTTTTGTTTTACATTTTTAATTATGGATCTTGTCTTTTACAGATTGAAGCTTTTATTCTGTAGCTCTGCAGCATTTGCAAAGTTTGAAATAACTTTCTCTCTCTCAGCCCATTATCCATCTGTACCATTGCCTTTCACCATTCAAAATCACCTTGGGAACATTGGGTGAGTAAAGGGCCAACAGGATAAGACTCCCAACTACTTTTTCACTTTTTTATTTTATTTGAAAGATCCCTCAAAGTGGTCAGCAAATAGATGGACCACAGTGAGAACTAAATGTCAGTTCTCTCTGACTTCGTTTTGAAGAATTGTTCTTAAAGTCATTGACCTTCATTTTTATCTCCAGTAGATGCTGGAGACCATTGGTCTATTCTTTTATATCTGCTTCACTTTTTAAAACACTTCTACGTAGAACAGGAATCAAGAAGGAAAAAATCCTTTATAAGCTTAGCCCAGATCACATATAAACAACTTCTGTGGCCTTAAAAACAGAATAATCGGCTGGGCGTGGTGGCTCACGCCTGTAATCCTAGCACTTTGGGAGGCCGAGGCGGGCGGATTGCTCAAGGTCAGGAGTTCGAAACCAGCCTGAGCGAGACCCTGTCTCTACCAAAAATAGAAATAAATTAATTGACCAACTAAAAAATATATATACAAAAAATTAGCCGGGCATGGTGGCGCATGCCTGTAGTCCCAGCTACTTGGGAGGCTGAGGCAGTAGGATCGCTGAGCCCCGGAGATTGAGGTTGTTGTGAGCCAGGCTGACGCCACGGCACTCACTCTAGCCTGGGCAACAAAGTGAGACTCTGTCTCAAAAAAAACAAAACAAACAAACAAAAAAAACCAGAATAATCATTTGAAAAGCTGTGCAGTCAAAACACTTCTAAAAATGTCTTATTCCTACTAGGCTTTGATATATTTTGTGACTTTTTAGACATACTGCTGACAGATTGGAAGATGGCAGAGTTTAGAATTTGCCTACTTCAAATCCATCAACAAACACCAATGCTAGATTTTTATAGCCAGAGAAAGCAGCTAGGTCAAAATACCTCAGGAAGCTAAAGCAATATGATCACTTGAGTTCTGGGCTGTAAGTGTGCTATGCTGACCTGGTGTCTACAGTAAGTTGAGTATCAACATGGGGACCTCCCGGTAGAGGGAGTTGCAGGGTGGAAGAGTGGCACCACCAGTTTACCTAAGGAGGCATGACCCAGCCCAGGTCAGAAATAGGGTGTGTCAAAACTTCCATGCTGATCAGTAGTGAGACCATGCCTGTGAATAGCCACTGCACTCCAGCCTGGGCAACATAGAGACCCTGTCTCTAAAAACAAAAATGAAAAACCCCACTTATATTCTTCAAGTTCTTAGTATCTTCTGTATAAAAAAAAAAAACTTGTAAAATTCTGCTAATCAGAACATCTATTCAGGGCACCTTGAATCTATGCTTCTGTGTTGCAGTTCTCAAACTTGGCCCAAATAAACTCTCAACTTATATTTAAAAGAAAAAAAAAAAGGGTGGGCATAGTGGCTCATGCCTATAATCCTAGTACTCTGGGAGGCCAAGGCGGGCAGATTGCTCAAGGTCAAGAGTTCGAAACTACCCTGAGCAAGAGTGAGACCCTGTCTCTACTAAAAATAGAAAGAAATTAATTGGCCAACTAAAAATATATAGAAAAAATTAACTGGGCATGGTGTTGCATGCATGTCCTGTAGTGCCAGCTACTAGGGAGGCTGAGGCAGAAGGATTGCTTGAGCCCAGGAGTTTGAGGTTGCTGTGAGCTAGGCTGATGCCAGGGCACTCTAGCCTGGGCAACAGAGTGAGACTCTCTCTCAAAAAAAACCCAAAAAAAAATACCTTATAATTACATGCAAAATTGTTCTTTTTTGTACTTTTCCTCTTGGCTCAATCAAAATTGTTTCTTAGGTCTTGTTTTGGAATCCCATTTCAAACAGGATAGTCCGGTTATTCCCAGAAATGCCTCTGTACACTTCCTAGGAGACTGAGAAACCATACCCAAGAACATATAATTCCACTAAAATGGAGACAAGTATAAGATTCCAGAAAAATTAACCTTTTGTTCTTTCCAGCCAAGATGAAATTGCTCCCATTCTATCTAAAGTGCCACCGGAGGACAACTACCTGAAGAATGTAGTCAAGCAAATTTACCAAGATCTGCTTCACGACTGCCATTTCTTCCACTAGACCCCTGGACTACAGCTGTGTAACAATCAACTAGAATGTACTTAATGACATTATGTCAGGGTCTCCATTGCTCTGTAACCTTTTTCTTTAGTATGTATACACCCTAGTAAAATTCCTTCTGATGATGTGATAGTTATATTGTATGGTTAGTTTTTAAGTCTTTGCAGTCAGGAATGAGAAAAGGCTTCAAATAGCCTGTTATCAACTTGTGTATCTTTGTACCAAAGGTTTAGTAGTAGGACACTTGGGGAAAATTTCCCTAACTAAAATAGGGCTCTCTGCTTTAGTACAAACCCTAAGGAGTAACTTTTAAGTTTAAGAGGAGTTGTTACCAATGACAAAAACATTAGCCATTTTTCCATATATAGAGCTTTGATTTTTAGGTGGCCTGGCTGCTTCCCAGCAGATATTTCTGGAGTAGAGACAGGAGTGTCTACAAACTATTCTTCTTCCTTTTTCTCCATTTCAAAAACGCTGTTAAGAGAAAGCGATAGTATTCACCTATTGGAATGGTTGCCATCTTTTTTTGAGGGCCCTGCCTTTTATTCTATAGTATCCATTAATGTTTGCTTAATAAGTATAATTTTTGTAGGGAAAGTTAATTCATTTGGGTCCAGTATACATATGTAAATATATTAATGTTTTTGTGTTTGTCATGTAATAAGGAGATGTATATAGAAATTCATGTAGAGATACAATATAGAGATAACCTTCAGCCTAGGCAGCTTACATCTTTCTGAAGGATACTTTAGGGCAAGATTCTCAATCTTTTATTAAATAATGACACTTCAAACAATATCGTATCCAAAACATTATCAATTTATGGCAGTAATAATAAAATAATAAACTTGTTATAAGTATTGGTTCCTGAAGCCATACCCTCCTCCTATACAAAAATAATATCCATTGATTATTAAATGAGCAATATTATCTATGAGGCAAACATGAAAACACTTTTACTCAAACTTTAGTCAAACCATAATCATAAATTTTGTGTTTTATATTTAATTCTAAACTAAAATATATTTACATTTTTAAACTAATTTATCTTAAAATTTTGCTTTACACTTTAGGATTAAAGCCCTATGGGTACCGGGAATGTTACCTTCCCTCTTGATTGGTTTTTACTTCTGAGCTGTACATCAAAAGATCACATGGTCTTTTAACCTTCAAAAGTCAACACAAAACTCATTTGCTATAAAAATCAAGATGTAGATGTTCCCTATTTCCATAAACTCCTTGGAAAAACTTTAAAGTCATCAGTATGGTCTATTTCTATGAAGGTTAAATTAGCTTTCTTATTAGGACTGTTTTATTTCTTTTCCATAAGTGTAAACAGTAGAAGTTTTGTTTTATGCATTTTAGTAACCTGGAACAACCAGCTACAAGAATGATTTGGCTTGTAATGATGGTCTCTGCTTTCTTGGATTTGTAATATTAGTTCATAATTGTGATATTTACCTAGCTATTTGTGGGGTTTTTTGTTCACAGTATTGGTTATTTTCATAAATTTTTTGGAAGGTTTTTCTTCACTAACTGGAAAACAGATTATTTTTTGCACTATTAAAATAAGCGTATTACTTGAAATCTTCTGTAAGTAGTATTTCTTTATGAAGAGTATTTTAGCATGTATCCAATAGACCTTTGAAGATATACCAAAGAAACCTCCCTCTAGGTCCACTTACCTATTTGAAAACTAAGATAGGATTAAAATATGTCAGGACCTTAATGTAAGAACCAGGTACAAACCCGAGTTAGCCCTGTGTCTCTGAATAACAGTAGAAAACTATTTTGAGGTTCCTCAGGAAGCTATCAGTTCTCTGAGCTAATGCAGTGGCTCTCAAAGTATAGTTCCCAGATTAGCAGCATCAGCCTCACCCCAGACCTACTGAATCTGAAACCCAGGAGTAGGGACCAGCATTTTGTGGGGTTTTCCCCCACTTTCTTTTTTCCTTTTATTAGCTTTATTAAAGCATGATTCACTCATCATAAAAGTTATCAAAGTATAAAATTGGACGGTTTTTAGTATATTCACAGTTATATATAACAATTATCACAATTTTATAATACTTTCATCACCTAGAAAAACAAAGTCTAAATCGTATATTTTCCCACAATTTTTAAAAAACCAATACCCTTTACAGTTCAGTTTTATATATAAAGAAAAAAAAAAAAAAAAAAAAAAAAAACCAATACCCTTTAGGTATTATCCTATCTTCACATCATTTCCCACCTGACATTTCTTAAAGCTACTATTAGTCTACTTCCTGTCTCTATAGGTTTGCCTATTTTGAACATTTCATATAAATGAAATAATATAATACATGGTCTTTTGTTACTGGCTGTCATTTAGCATGATGTTTTCAAGGTTTATTCATGTTGTAGTATTTATCAGTACTTCATTCCTTTTTATGGCCAAATAATATTTCATTGTATAGATCCATGATTAGGGCAATTAGGCAAGAAGAAGAAATAAAAGATATCCAGACTGGAAAGGAAGAAGTAAAACTATTTGCAGATGATATGATCTCGTATATAGAAAGTCCTAAGGAATACACTAAAAAACTATTAAAACTGATAAATGGTTCAGCAAGTTTGCAAGATACAATATCAGTATTCAAAAATCATTTTTATATACCTAGCAATGAGCAAGCCAAAAATGAAATTAAGAAAACAATTCCATTTATAATAGCTTCATAAAATTATTTAGGAGTAAGTTTAACCAAGGAGGCTTAAGACTTATACATGAAAACAACAAACATTGGAAGAAGTTAAAACCTAAGGCCAGGTAAGGTGGCTTACTCCTATAATCCCAGCAGTTGGGAAGGTGGGAAGGAGGCCAAGGTGGGAAGATCACTTGAGGTCAGGAGATCAGAGACCAACCTGAGCAAGAGCAAGACTCCATCTCTACTAAAACAATAGAAAAAATAGCCGGGTGTGATTGTATACACCTGAAGTCCCAGGTACTCGGGAGGCCAAGGCAAAAGGATTGCTTGAGCCCAGAAGTTTCAGGTTGATGTGAGCTAGGTGGATGATGGCACTCTAGCCAGGGTGACAGAGTGAGACTCTCTCTCAAAAAGAAAAATAGACCTGAGCTAATACATTCAGCCCCCTGGGCATGTGGTACTCTGGGCTACCTCAGGACTCTTCAGAGAGTCTCCATCAGCAAGAAGGCCCTCACCAGATGTTCCATATCAACCTTGGACTTCTCAGCCTCCAGAGCTGTAAGAAATAAATTTCATTTCTTTATAAATTACCCAGTTTCAGGTATTCTGTTATAAGCAATAGAAAACAGACTGCAATAGAAAAACATAATTGTTCCTGTATTAATGTGCATATTTCACAATGTATAAGCAGATTCTGTCCAAAATCTGTTCCTGTGTCAAACTCAGAATCACAATTCTTTAAACACTTTTACGCAACTGTAAATTCAAAGGGGTATAACTTGAAACATCATTTGTAGAAATTCTAAAATTTGGCTAGGTGGGGTGGTTGCTCACGCCTGTAATCCTAGCACTCTGGGAGGCCAGGTGAGGTGGCTTACTTCTATAATCCCAGCATTTTGGGAGGATTACTTGAGGTCTGGAGTTGGAGACCAGCCTGAGCAAGAGCGAGACCCCATCTCTACTAAAAATAGAAAAAATTAGGGCATGGTGGCACACGCCTATAGTCCCAGCTACCCTGGGGGCTGAGACAAGGACGATCACTTGAGCCCAAGAGTTCAGGTAACAGTGAGTCATGATAGCACCATTGCACTCCAGCCTGGGTAGCCAAGCAAGACTGCCTCTTTAATTAAAAAAATTAAAAATTGGGGATGCAGGCAGAGCGTTGGGTGGTCTCGTGGCTCTGTCTTTTGCTTCAACAGTGCTTGGACAGAACAGACCCCAGGACTTCCTTTTTTCCAGCCTCCGACTGTTCTCTGATGGCCTCTCCACTTGCAATTTCCGGGACCAAGACCTCCAGACCAAGAGAAGATCTCTGCTGTCTCCTGCTGCTGGAGCCAGCTAACACCTTTTTTTGTGGGTAGTGTCTCACTGCTGAGCAACCATGAGCTCCCAGATTCGTCAGAATTATTTCACCAAGGTGGAGGCAACCGTCAACCACCTGGTCAATTTGCATCTGCGGGCCTCCTACACCTACTCTCAGGGCTACTATTTCTATCGCGATGATGTGGCTCTGGAAGGCGTGGGCCACTCTTCCTCGAATTGTCTGATGAGAAGCGCGAGGGCGCCCAGCGTCTCTTGAAGACGCAAAACCAGCGTGGCAGGCGTGCTCACTTCTAGGACGTGCAGAAGCAATCTCAAGATGAGTGGGGTACCACCCAGGACGCAATGGAAGCTGCCATGGTCCTGGAGAATCTTCTGAATCTTCATGCCCTGGGTTCTACCTACACAGACCCCCATCTCTGAGATTTCCTGGAGAATCACTTCCTAGATGAGGAAATGAAACTCATCAAGAAGATGGGCAACCACCTGACCAACCTCGGCAGGCTGGCCGGCCCCCAGGCTGGGCCGGCGAGTATCTCTTCGAAAGGCTCACTCTCAAGCACAACTAGAAGGCTGCCAAGCCTAGGTACCACTGAGGAGCCTCTCTCAAAGTATCAGGGCTTCTGCCTGAGCCTCTCCCTCCAGCCACTAGGCAGCTTTTTAACTACTCTGGAGTCCTCTCCCAAGCTTTGAACAAAATGGAAATAAAGCTTTCTGCAGCGTCAAAAAAAAAAAAAAAAATGGGGGGTGCAGAGAAGTTCACCCTGTGGCTAAATAGCTAAAGGTAGTATAGTTCTGATATAACAGAGGTAATGTCCTGAAAAAAACGGTAAAATGTTTTTACAGGCTGTCTTTTTAAAACCCCCTCACCCTTTTTGGGAATTAAAACCTGCACTCCTACTCTAGGCCAGTAATCAGAAGGGTCTGGGAGGGTTCTTTGTTTTTTTGTACTACAGAAGATGTTTCAATGGAATTGTCCAGGTAGAGGTCAGCTGGAGATGCTGTAAACAGCAAAAGCCCAAAGCTGAAAACTGCCTTTAAAAGCTCTGTATTTCTGCTTAAATGGAGGAAGATGGTACTTTAACACATTGTGCCACTAGGAAAAAATTTTTTCCTTGGGGCCACGGTGTTTTATTAGGAAAATAGAATAAAAATATTGAAATTTAATGAAAAATTTATTTTTTATCGTTTTCTGTGCATGGGTTATATGCAACTTGAAAAATAGTTTTCACAGCTCCCAAGGTAGAGACGTGTGAGTTACATATGCTTCACGAGGCCCTGGGCTCAAAACTACCGTTGAGTTAAACACAACTCACATGGCAGTTAATGTGTTAAGATGAGAATCTGCCACCCTTCTCATTTGCCAGCAGATTAATAAACTTCTCTTTCCTTTTCCTCAAACTACTTGTCCTCATTCTTTGGCCCCCAAGGACCAAACTTTTGGTAACACAGAGATTTCATTCAGGCCTTAGTGAATGAAGCCTGATAAATCACTTTTGCCCCACAAGGCTGTGTACCTTCCAGTGACTGTTTTTGATACCAGATTTAGTTTTTCTGTAGGATAGCTTCCTAGAAATAGAGCTGTTGAGTCAAAGGCTAGTTGTATTTGTAATTTTGATAGACTAAAAAGTACTAAACTTCCCTGTCAAATGATCATATCAATCTTACTAGCAATGACTACCCAGTTCCCCAAATTATTATTTTTTTTTTTTTTTTTTTGAGACAGAGTCTCACTTTGTTGTCCAGGCTAGAGTGAGTGCCGTGGCGTCAGCCTAGCTCACAGCAACCTCAAACTCCTGGGCTCGAGTGATCCTTCTGCCTCAGCCTCCCGGGTAGCTGGGCTACAGGCATGCGCCACCATGCCGGCTAATTTTTTTTTTATATATTATATCAGTTGGCCAATTAATTTTTTCTATTTATAGTAGAGAAGGGTCTCGCTCTTGCCAGGCTGGTTTTGAACTCCTGACCTTGAGCAATCCGCCCGCCTCGGCCTCCCAAGAGCTAGGATTACAGGCGTGAGCCACAGCGCCCGGCCCCAAATTATTATTAATATAGTACATTACCAGACTTTTTCATAGTATCCCAATATGGTCTTTGGTTTTTTTTTGAGACAGAGTCTCGCTTTGTTGGCCAGGCTCCAGTGAGTGCCGTGGCATCAGCCTAGCTCACCGCAACCTCGAACTCCTGGGCTCAAGTGATCCTCCTGCCTCAGCCTTCCGAGTAGCTGGGACTATAGGCATGCACCACCATGCCTGGCTAATTTTTTCTATATATATTAGTTGGCCAATTAATTTCTTTTTTATTTATAGTAGAGACAGGGTCTCGCTCTTGCTCAGGCTGGTTTCAAACTCCTGACCTTGAGCAATCCGCCCGCCTTGGCCTCCCAGAGTGCTAGGATTACAGGCTTGAGCCACTGTGCCTGGCCCAACACCTTGATTTTAACCCATTGAAATGTACTTCAGAATTCTCACCTCCAGAACTGTAAGATGATAAATTTTTATTGTTTCAAACCATTAAGTTTGTGGTAATTTATTATAGCACCAATAGGAAACTCATACACTTGGGTAAATATTCTGTTCCATCAATTTATCTTTTCTGTAAAAGTACTTTTTAATTATTGTAGTTTTATAATATGTTTTAGTATCCGGTCAGTTTAGGTCATTTTATTTCAGTACTTTTCTTGCTCTTGTTTCTTATTTTAACATGTAAAGGTAATAACTTACTTGTTCTGTTTGTAACAGAGTAGTCACCCCTCCTCCCACAGATATGGAAGGAAAATGCTGAGAGTAAGGAATATGTAATAGAGGGAATGGTCTGGAAAAAAAAACGGCAAAAATATTTTCTTTTTTTTTGAGACAGAGTCTCACTTTGTTGTCCAGGCTAGAGTGAGTGCCGTGGCGTCAGCCTAGCTCACAGCAACCTCAAACTCCTGGGCTCGAGTGATCCTTCTGCCTCAGCCTCCCGAGTAGCTGGGACTACAGGCACGTGCCACTATGCCCAGCTAATTTTTTATATATATATATCAGTTGGCCAATTAATTTCTTTCTGTTTATAGTAGAGACGGGGTCTCACTCTTGCTCAGGCTGGTTTTGAACTCCTGACCTTGAGCAATCC